AGACTGGCAAATTATTATATATATATATATATATATAACCTTTTTCATCCTTACCTGAACCAGGAAGCTACTGACTCTTACTAGTATTGGTGTTATCCTTCCTTTAGCTATTGCTAAAGGTAAATACCACACACAGAAGTAGCAGGAAGTCTTACACCTTTTGAGTTTCCTACTTAGATACCAAATTAATCCAGGCTTTTGAAAATAGCCCTTCTGTACCCATGCAGAGGGTAAAATGGCATCTCAGTTGTTTACCCTAAATGTTTGTTTGCTAAATATTCTATTTTATTTTATTTATATCAGATATATGAATGTAACGGACTTACTGTGCTATGCCAACTTCAGTGAAGACAAAGATGTAGAGCATGAAATTTAAGAGTTTTCTGCAAGCCATTGGGATTCAGTATTCTGCCTGATGGCAGATGATTCACACTCATAAATACCAGATTCCCAAACTACCCGTAGCCTGGTTTATTACATCAGGCAGTACTTTCACAAGACACAGATTTTCGTAGTGACAAAAGGATCCATAACATTTTCTGTTAGTTCATAGAAAGCAGTTCCTATTACTGACTGAAAAACTATAAGTTTACCCAAAACTTAATGTAAAATCCCATTCAAATTTAAAACATACCATGATTTAGTTGTTGTAATAACTTCATGCTCCTTCTGATACCTACCTTATGATACCAGCATAGCCATAGGAGAATTGGATTGCGTTCCTTCTTGCACATCAACAGGATTGTTAACTATGTTCCAGTTTGCATTTGTGAGAAAAATCAATGGGTTTATTTAGGTAGAACAAATGAGGTCATAATTTGAAGTTAATGGGATTTCATTAGTAATTAAGGCTCTGTTTTTTGCTGAAAAGTATTTATGGCTGGTAGAGAGCCATGAGGAGAACAACCAGCTTGACTAATACTGAGACGTGTTCACAACTGAGAGGCAAAATACAAAGTGAAGTGAGAGTGTTTGAAAGTGAACCATTGGCAGAAAGTGAAAATAGAATTCCACAACACCTTTGTTGCAGTTACTTTTCAAAACAGAAACTTCATGAGCCAAGATTTGCCTTCGCACTTGAAAAAATGGGTTAAAGGTTTCACTGAAAGTTACTTTTTTTTCTCTTTTACTGCAGATTACAAAAGCATCAAGGAGGAGTTTAAATGCTGGTTTAGCCTACTCAGAAAATCATCAGATTCGTGTTTCCCAGCAAGACTACAAACTATTCCGAGCCCTCTTTGTGTTGATGATCTCGTTCTTCATCATGTGGAGCCCAATTACCGTAATTATTCTTTTAATCCTAGTCCAGAATGAAAAAAAAGATTTAAGTTTTTTGCCATCAGTTTTCTTCTGGATAGTGTTATTCACTTTTGCCAACTCTGCTGTCAATCCAATTTTGTATAATTTTGCCCATTTCAGACGTAAATGCCAGGAAATTCATCTGTGTTGCACAGGGAACTCTGTAAGGCGAGGGGCTGGTACAGAAACCACTGCAAGAAGAAGTAACCACGAACAACCAAATTTGTCGTTCATTACTAGATAATTATTTGAAGTCTGAGCCATGTCTCACTTTGGAAGTTAATGTCTACACTATCCCACGTTGAATAGGTCACTATGTTATAGTATTACATGCCTGAGAAGGAAAAAAACTAACCTAAATATGTATTTTTAATTCCTTCAGGTAAGATTCTCCTGACTCCGCTGCTTTGCCCCAGTAAGATTTGGAAAATTTAATCCAATGGATTTAATTTTCCAATTACACTGAAATAAATATAATATGGCAGTGAAGCTGGTGAATGAAAAAGAGTTGAAATAAGTACATACCAGAAGAATTAGTTTCTATGAGGGTACATTTTCAGTTGGCATAAGTGTCATTAACTTTAATGAAGTTACAGTGAATCTATATCAAGAGGGCACCTGATCCATTTTTACCCTGTTTTCTACTGAGTAAGAGAGATCTGCTTTCTAGTGAAAATGTATATCCTCAGAAAGTATCTGCTCTGGTTTCAGTCCTATTTTAAAAAGGCCCTTGATTACAGACTTAGAGTAACTGACTGCCTGAGCAGGGTTGGGCAGACTAACCATCTCTTGGAGGAAACACGATGCTGAACGTGTATTGTCACCAAGTGAATGACCAATGTTGTTCTATGTCAAATGAAAATATGGACAATGCCTGTTAATTTATAAATAAAGAATAAATGGTTCATTGTTCACTTGTGTGTAAAATAGTTCTTTAAAATACGCATATTTTAAATTTCTTCAGTAGTCATATTATAATCAGTGATACATAGGGTCACTGAAATTCCTTTTTGCCTTCTAAAATGCTATTGGGAATGGTTTCCAGTATTTCCTAGAAAAAAGATGACATTGTATTTGAAAAGAAATTTAAAAACTTAGAAAGCAAATGCATATATTCTTCTTTTAAAATAAAACTCTCTTAGAAATGGAAACCACTAAAAAAAAAGAAAGATTAAATTCTCCATTATTGCCATCTGCCCCCATTTCAAAACAGTGCATTTAGGTAACAGTTTACTAATAAAATCAGTCTGCATATGTACAGATTTGCATGCAAACAATTTGCATCCCTGTAATCCAAGTTTATTAAAATGTTTCATTGATTTATGAACAAGGTGAGGTACACAGCTCAGATAAATATACTCCAAATCTAAATGAAGCCACTTAAAAGGTTTTCAAGAGAACACTCGATCACTGTTTTAACTTTACATCCATGGTTTCTTTCCATAGTTTTGGATCTCCTTAAGAGCAAAACCCTGAAACACACAAGGACCAAAATTAAGACATACAAGCTTCCACCAAATTTAAAATGTATACACATCTAATTTCGTTAAAATGCTCGTGAGTCCAGCAGCCTGTGACTTGTAATGACAGTGCCAATACTTGCTCTGCAGTTCATAATTCCAAAGAATTTTCTACTTAAAACAAAACAGGAATTCATCCAACCCGTTACACCTGTTCTAAGCATTTTAATACTTTGGCAAACAAGGTACTGGATAGATCAGTGATAAAAGAGGTAGTTATTTACTCCAACAAGCTTCAAATTATTTGCCTTTCAAAAACCATTGATTTAAGAATGTCTTTCAACAAAATAAGAATCTCCTGACCTCCACAACTTTTAATGGCAGTAGTAAATTCGCTGAAGGAATTTACCACTCTTTCAGTCACAATTTCTGCTTCTAGCAAATGCTAACAGCAGATTCAGCTTTCAACTCTACTAAAATGACATCGTATTGGATCTACAAGTAGTCCCACTGCGATACCCACACTCATATTGCATAACTTAAAGCAGCTTGAGCTATCTATTACTCTGAGACACTGAGTGTATCATAGCCTGATCCATATTTGGAAAGGAACTACCATCAGAAATGCAATGTGTTACCACGAAAATTCTCATCATTTCCTAGGTTCTCTTTTGCCTTAAAGAGTCAGTACACAACAGACGATTATTTTAGATTTTTTTGTCTTCCATCAAGGTAAGTTCAGTACATTTATTATTTTGGGGGATTAGGAACTTAATTTGAGTGCAGTATTTCTTTAATAAGCTAATGAAAAAATCTTTGGGGAAAAAAATTGGCTTTAAGACATAGGCAGAGCACGTACAGTTAGAAACAATTCCAAGCTTATTCTTGCAGCATCTGTTAACATCAGTCAGAATTTTAACAGAGGAACAGTGGAGTGCAGGTCAGTGCAGATCATTGAAGCTGGCTTTTTTGCTACTAACTCTGTAGGTCCTCATGGCAGAATTAGAACTAAAGTAGCAAGGCTTCTAATCCACACAGAAGCAATTAAGTGAATCTCGTAAGAGCTTCTGATACAGAGCTTTCAGTAAGTGTTCTGGTTTGGGGTTTTTTTTCTGTTTAGCTCACAATCATTCTCTCATTCCCAAATGTCCCTGCTGTGCAGGATCCTTGGCTTAATGATACTGGAGAATTCAGAATCAGCTAGCACTATGGAAATTACAGGGTTCGATAACAGTGAAGGGAAAATGCAAATCACTGGCTTTAAGTTTTGTTTATACTTTGGTGCTAGGCTCATAAACTCTGGCACAATCCTCAGTAAAAAGCAGATGGCATTAAGAACCTGGGTTACCATTTTTCATTGGTGCAACGTGGTAGATTTGATATTTCTATCATGAACTAGAGGCAGCATGATAAACTTTTAAATTATGGTTAGGAAGTCAAAGAATATTTAAGGCTGAACTTCCAAAAAACAATCTGACCTTTAATTTTTCAATTACACTCTTGGTTTTATAGTCCATGAAAAAACACAAGCGCTCTATTAAATAGAAGTACTGAGATATTTGAAAAAGTTGTGTCACAAGCCATGAATAAATGAATGTATTCACTTTTTCCTTTTGGTTTATACTTTCTTGCAAAGATCTACAATCTATTTATTGCCTTGCAAGCCTCATATAATGTAGAAGTAATAAAAACACAGATGCCACCATGCAGGATCAGAGCAGTACTTGGGCTAGCCCGATACCCTGATTTTACGGGGCGATGGTATTTTCACTAGGTTTGACGGAGACGCAAGGACCATAACACACACCTCTTAAAGTCAAAGCACAGCAGCTGTATATCTGCACTTTGTCTGAGATTTAATACAAAAATATCCCTAATCATCTCATTGTTTTGTTTTCTCATCTTCAGAAATTTTCATTCTTGCTGCACTTCATCTGCAGAGCAGTGGATGCAGCATCCAAAACAAGAAAGTATCATCAGTTCGTCTAATGACATTGTTTTTCACCCTACCCCTTATGCAATCACATACATCATTCACAAAAGCCAATTTCACTTGCATTTATGATGTCTCTTAGTCTTGATTGCCTTAAATCTCAACTGTCTTTTATGTTGTCTCCAAATTCTCATTCAAGACCATTTTTCATGGTTGTCAGGCACTTTTTCCAGGTCACTAATCAGTATTCTAAACACCACCCACCTTAGCAGATCTTTCAGGCACCCTGTTATCAGCATACCTACTTTACAACATGGCAATGTATTACTCTCTGTTTAGAGATCAGATGAACAGGTAATAGAGCCACAAGAGCTGACTGTGCTCGTCTGTTCTGACTTTCTTTATAAAACACTCAAGTTCCTTCAGTCAATCCCAGTTTACTCTACCATGTAATTTAGAAAAGCCTTTCATCTTGATTTACAGATTTCAGCGATGAAGCACACAACAGCTTTTGGTAAACTGTTCCAAAGGTTAATGACCTTTGGAGTTAAACAAGTGGCTATTTATTTCTGCTCTGAATGTGTCCAGTTTAAAGTTCCATCAATTTTAATTTATTATTGCAATGTTTGCAAGTCCTTTACTATCCAATTCCCATTACTTGTGTGGGCAAGAACAGACTTGGTTCAGGTCAGCCTTTAACTTCTTTCTAAGGAGAAAAGATCAAGGTCTTTGAAGCACTCTCTAGAGGACACGTTTTACAAACTTTCAGTTATTCTCTGCTCGTCTTTGAAACTTCTAATTCAACCTGGGTACCCTTTCCAGTTACGATTACCATCACATGTGGCATAGCAAGCAGACCTATGCCAAGCACAAGTCTCATAGGAGCCTGTAAATTTATCTTCTGCATTTACGCATCCAAGGATCCTATTAACTGTCGGCCACAGTGTTACACTGGGAGTTCACACCGAGCTGATCCACCAGTCAAGTCTTCCGTACGTACTGTGTCTTTCTGAATGCGAGGGGAGGGCCAGGGATGGCTACGCTTCTCCTTTATTTGTCCTAAATATTCTGTCTTCTTCATTCTTTACTATTCCTAACTCTGGGTGTAATCTTTCTCAGTAATTATATCATGTTTTCTTCTAGATCATTGATTAAAGTAGACTAAATTTGTAGCATGAATGAGCAGCATTTGGCCTTTTCTAATGCCCTTGAACACAAGTTAACTAATCTGTATCCTTCCTTGTACTGCAAGCTCAGCCCGACTCCGTGACTCAAGATAGGATCTTACTTGCAGTATGAGGGGTATATTCCCCTTCAACAACTCTTTGTGAAATGGTTGGCATGAGGACCTGTGAGAAAAGGTGTCCTTTCCAAGACTTCTCATTTTCCTTAAAAGCCTTTTGTGAATCTTTCAAAGAAGTTTTTGAAAATACATTCTGTTCCACTTGACAGCTATTTGGTTGAGAAATGCAGAGAGTTCTGATTAAAGAGACACAATTTCTTTTTACAGCAACTGAGAAGTTTATCCTTACTATGTTTACCCATACTACGTTGATTTAATTGTTTTACAACTTCCTCTAATTATTGTTTCGGCTGATGTGATATGCTGCATAAAAAGCTGTACTCCTTAGCTCTCCTTCAGATAAGGGAAGTAAAAGTTGGAAATAATTTACTACAAAAGACAATATTACAGCCACTAAGTAAAAGACTCCATGCATTTGCTATTTAATGAGCAAGAGACTCCCAGTGCTTTAGTTATTAAGCCCTGAAATAAAATTCTCCAGAAAAAGGAGTTCTTACCGTTATGAACAATAACTCTGTATTTTCTGTCCAAGCAGAGGTCCATCTGCCTTTGTCTGACAATTTTCTGTGCCTCTGGAGGCAATCCCTTGGGGTCCCGGGAGAACACAAAGGAATAGCTATCAGCACAAGTGCCATCTTCATTTAGTTGGCGGCAGGAGTAATGAAGGGCATACGTCTCATAATCTGTGTCTACTACCCAGTGATCATCATCTGGAAGAAACCACAGCAAAGAAGCAACGGTGTTAGAGACACAAGTAAAATTTAGTAAATCTAAAGAGATTGCTGCCGTAACTCCAAAGAAAACAGCACGATGAATGTATTTTTAAGGAAAAGGATTATCATGCAGTTTCCATGTGTGTTAGAAGTGTATTTGCTACAAGCTCTGCCATAAAACCTCTTCTCAAAACAGTTACAATTTCAGATAATTCTTAACTAGATAGGTAATCCGATAAATACCTGGTCTCACAGACACCCTGTGCTAACAGAAGTGAACCTATGAGTTTGCAGTGAAAAGTGTAATCTCTGCTCCTTCCTCTCCCAGAGCAAAAGATCCTCCCTTGCACTACATCTGTGCCAGTGAAGGCAGCCCTGTACATTCTCTTGCCCATCTCTCCTGTGGGTGGGGAACCACTGTTTTTAGAAAGGCAGAGTCTGAGGTCAGCCAGCAAGTATTCATGAAAACATGCTTCAGCAGCATGCTGTGAGGAGATTCAGCAACAATTCAAGCGTTGTTTGCATCCAAAGCATTCTTTGTAGCTGTGTTTTTGGAAAGAATGGAGCTCCAATCACTTCCAAATTTCACCTGCTTCTCAAGGAGACAATCCACGGAAATATCTTGTTACAAGCATCTCAGTCTCTACTTGGCTCAATAAACTCATTTTGCACAGGGTGTGGCAGGCAACAGAAAAATGTGAATATATATATACATATATATATACTGGGTCATATTTGCTTCTTAAAACAGATAAACCTCTACATTTGCAGACATAAGACCAAGAAAAATAACAATTGCAAAATCTTCTTCCCTGCTTGATCAAGTTTGATGTCAGGCTTTTCAGAGAGAACAGAAGCATCTGATAACTGAGTTCTGAACTAAAACAAGACTTCAAATACTTCATCTGCCTTTCATTTCTTTATAAACAGTGACCTTACATTACATTGCTGGGTAACAAACAAAAGAAATACAAAGATATACAAAGGCCTTACCTTCACTTCTTTAAAGAAGGACAACCAGCTATCCCATATAAAAAATGGTGATTACCTTGTCACATTAAGGCTTTCCTGTATCCTAGTTATTACATGTTTTAAGTGTGTTTAAGAATTCCAACACTACTTTCTCCTTCCCCAGCATGGACATACAACAAAACTATGCTCCCGAGTAGTTCTGCATCTTCTATAGCTAGGTACTCACTTCCTTTCTGCAGAAAAGAGGCAACACCCCAGTACTTCATCTTGAACTTGGCAGGATCCTCTGTGTCAGTGAAAGAGCCAATCATGTCAGCACAAACATCCCAGTTACTGTAGTCAGAGAGAAAGAAAACATAACATTCAAATCCTACAGCACAGATTCAGCGTGACCGTGTGACCAGCACAGGGACAGCAGGTAGGATCGGAGCACCAATAAGCAAAGCAGAAGCTTAGTGAAGTGGAACAGGAGGGAGACTGCAAACAACTTACTTGAAGAGTCTGACTCTGCCCTTTGCAGTGGCACTCATTTGTCCATTCTCATCTACGGTGAACTGGGCTACCACGTTGTCCTGCAGAAACAATCCCTCAGGGTCCTTCTTTGCCATGGCATACCAGGTGCCACTGTACTGCAGGGAAATAAGAAAGGCTGCAGTTAGACCCAGAAGTATGGAAAACATTACAAACAGACATTACAAACTAGCAGGGGCAACAGAGGGAAGGACATGCAGATCTTTGACACCATGCCTCAAAGCTGTACCTAAGAAACAAACCTATCTGTTCCAACAGCATAAACCCACCAAGATGTCCTAGTGCAGCCAGGATTTGTGAAAGAATTGACATTTTTGTGTAGCTTATTTGTATCTGCAGGTCTCCAGCATTCAGGATACAAAATCTGGTGGGAAGAGAGTAACAAATGGCAGATCCTGACAGATGTCAAGATGTATAGATGTTTCTTCCTTGCAATGATGTCTGAAAACACCAGAGTACGAATTTTTCATAGAAACAATCAAGTCACTACGCTCCTTTTCTGTTCAGACCATAGAGTTTGAGAGCAGACTGCTAAACCTCAGTTTCTGCAGTATTCCTTTATGAGAGACATCAGGATCAAGCATCTGTGGAGCTGTGGGCAACATCACACACTTCTGCTGTTTCTCAGTATTGCAGTCTGTGACTTAGAGTTAAAATGTGAACACGCTGGTGCTACTGAATGCCAGATTTTGTAGCCCGAGAACAGGTAGGCGAGACAGCACAGACCCAGGAGAGGAAGAAGATTTACCCTGGTCTTGTCGAAGTTCTCCTTGACTTTGAAGCTGCTTACTCGGCAGTCCCGCTCCGCCGTGCTGCTGCCCAGCAAGGCCAGTGCCAGCAGCATCAGCCAGGGCAGAGTTCTCCCCGTGCGAGCCATCTCGTCCCTGCAGCAACAGCAAACAGAGAATAGCATCAGAAACGGGCTCTGTCACACAGGCGGGGAAGCGAGGAAGGCTGCCCTGACAGGTTCCAGGGCACCGTGTGGCTTTCCCTGATGTATGCACAAGCAAGTCACCAGGTTCTCCCCAGCCCACCACAGCAGGGTTCCTCACAGACAGTGCTGGTCCCTGTAGCCTCTTGAGAGTCCAAGTGTTAATGGCAGTGGTAGGGCACCCAGACAGGGAATGCTTTATGTAGTCCCAGGGCTTTCGCAACCCCTTGAGGTACAAAGCCAGCATTGGAGGGGGAGTAGGGAGGCAGGCCGATGGATGCTGCAGGTTGGGGCCCCTTCACAACAGCCTCTTGTGTAATATTCATGGGCTCGGTTGATCTTTGACCCTGACCTGTAGCCAAGCAGGCGCTAGGAGCAAATGCCTCTCTTTGGTTTTCCTAACCCAAAGGCAGATCTTACAGCTGGGGGAAGGGGTGTGCACATGTGTGGCGAGAACAAAGGAAAAGAGAGGCACCCAGTCTTTGCAGGGGGGAGAGTAAGCTGCCTCCAGCTCCTCTGTGATTTTACACACTGCAGTCTAAAGTCCTTCTTACCCAATGTGCTCAACCCAGTTACAAGGTGCAGGCTTGTTTCGTCCATCTCCTCCCCAAATTCCTTTCTTCTCTTCCCCTGATAAACAGCAGCAAACATCGTACTTGCAAGTTTCTGCTAATGATTCTGAAAGCCTGGTCCTGCCAGATCCTCTTCAGGTCCTCATGGCTGGTTCCCTCTTGCTTCCCAAAGGTTGGCTTGGGCATTAAACCACCTCATGATCCACTCCCAGGGACAGGAACTGGGGCCCTGCAAATCTTCAGGAAGGTAAAAAAAAACCACATTTGTGTGGTACTGCAACCATGGCGAGACATACGTGTGGCCTGCAAATACTCAAATGCGTGTGTGCACCACATCGGGCCCTTTTGATATCAGTTTTAAATCAGAGCTTCCAGGATTTCTATTCTGTTTTTGGCAAACTGTTTTCAGTTATATAAGCCATTATTGTTTTCTCTTGTCCATGCAAGTTTTGCTGCCTCTCAGTCAATATTTGTTCTATAGTTTCAACATCTTTAGGAAGCATTAGAGAAAACCTGTTAATTATTTTCTAGACATGTAACTAGAGCAGGATAGGAAGGATTGTTACCAAAAAATCTAATTCACCTACTTTTTCCACGTCCTAGTTTTGAAAGAATAAAGGCAGAAGCCTGTTAGTTGAAAGGTCTGTGTTCATCAGTTTAAGAATGAAGCAAAAATGTAGTTTAAATGTGGAGACACCGATGTAGTATAAAAAATACTTCAACAGTAGCTGATATACAGAATTAAAGCAATTTATTCAGCGTGGCCTTTCCCAGAAATTTACTTCAGACTTCCATTCCTTTCATATATTCAAATATTAAACTTTTTATTGTTGCTGCCCTTTGCAATCTTCTTTATGTGTAATGCAAACAGTGGCACAATCTGATTCATCTGTCATTCTTTCTCTTCTGCTCTGTGTTGGAGCCTTTTTGCATGGACAGTAGGTTTTGTTCACTTTCTCAAACATCAAAATATCAAATACTCAGGGCTGCTCCAAGCCTGCTCTGAAGCTCTTGATTCCCTGGATAACTTCAGATACTAAAAATTCCATTCCGTTTAATATTAAGCTTCTATTTGGAGTAAATAACGTATATAACACAGGTAACCAGAAAGGTCGATGCATGTTAATTGTCCTGAACCTTTCAACAGTAGTGTTCAGTGAGACAACATTTCCATTTTTAAACTGAGATGTTCAAGTTTTCTAATTCCTACAGACACTGAGGAGAAACAGCCATCTCTGTACGTCTGGGGGCTTTTACAACCTTGCTCCAGCCCCTGGCAATGGGGATGCCAGGTACATAGATGCATTTTCACAAAACCTTTACAGAACACTCACTAGTCTCAATGTATGAAGTCATCGTACTTACAAGATCATAATCACCATGAACTTTTTATGTTCAGTGTCTTACACGACTGATAGTAAGAAGAGGAATCATAGCTTAATTTATAACCTGTAAGTCTATTACTTTCTTTAATGCCACAGAAAACAATTATTTCTTTTTTCTCTGCCAATTTGTGAAGTATCATTATTTGTCCTCTTCAAAAGTCTGTATACTGCTGGATATTGTCAGAGAGGTTCGTTCAGGATCCAATCTATTCCTACAAAACTTTGACAGTAACATAATTATCCATGAAAATTCTAAGGCAGAGTATGTCAAAGGAGTCTAAAACCTGATGAGATTGGACCACCCCTGCAGATCTAGGTCAGTAGTCCCATTACATTTACTGCACGTTGTCCTCAGCAGTTTTACAGACAGGAGACTAATCCAGGTTTCACTGAAAGAAAAATTTACTTCAGTGAATGTGTTTTATTAAGATCAATTCTAAACATGTGCAAGAGCCATTACAGTATTTTAAATCAATCCGAGGTCATCGACAAAAATGATGTTGAAATCAGAAACACGCAGGTTTGCACTAGCCACGGCACAGCTTCGTTTTAATTGTGTGCCTCCACTGATTTCTGCAATCATGTCTGGCAGAAACTTAGTAATTACAGCTTTTAATTCATTCAGCTCCTCACATCTGCCATCTCCACAAACTCCAGGCAATGTCTGAGAGAACTCTTCTCTTGTACAATTTTCATTGTGGATTTGTGGGAGAATAACTGAAGTAAAGTTACACCAGTACTTCTCAGTCAGATTTCAACAACTGCAGAAGAGGACCTGGGCAAGTCAGTACAATGTGAAGGTTGCATAGTAAAAAATGGGCTCTCTGCCTCTTCTGGTTTAGTTATACTTCCAACTCTGCATAGCTGCGACACAGTTTATGTTAATTAAGCCTTTTACAAATGCAGCTAAAGCCTTTCTTTGGTTCAATAAGATTTTTAGGCAAAAAGGCTCCTCTGCTGTTAGTCATATCTAGATTGGAAGTGTGTTGGAGAAGGGATGGAAGGTTGCTGCCAGACTAGCATTGTTATCACAATTCAAGGGTCATTTTTTTCTCAGTCCTAACAGATGTAGCTATGCCAGCACAACTATGTAAACTCATAAACAGTGTAAACTTTGCCTCAGTTAATCATCATTTGGATTGACTTGGGCTATGAGTTCGGTTGAGAAATTGTGCCAGAAAGTGATCCTCATCCAGATCTTTGGAGTCTGGATGCACCCCTTGCAGATTTGTTCTTATGCGAACAGAAAGGAACAGAATTTGGGCCAGGGCTTCGTTGATTCTGAGAGCAGTGTGCATAGATCAAGTCAATGGCATCAAATGATTACTGGGTTCTAGGAAAGCTCAGACAGTGAAATTTAAAAGAATTCTTAAAATATTGGTAACACATCATCATGCAAATAACCTCTAATGTAAAGCATAAATTAAAAAAAACCCTTGTGGTAAGTTGAAAACCAAGCTTGATAAATTTCATGCATGACTTCCCATCCCAATGTTTGAAGCTGGCAGTGCATTTTGAATATTACAGATTTTTTTAAACATCAGTATGTATTTTTTTAACCATATTTAATCGAAGGGGAAAAAAGAGCTCTACCTTGAAATTTTGCTAAGTGGCCAAAAAAAGGGGCTGACTTCAGGCGGCGTTTCTGTCATTGAAAAGTTTTTACATTAATAGCCTGTAAAATTCTGCAATATCTCCCATTAGGAATAGAAACAGCAAATACACAGAAAAGGTCAGATTTTCAAAGGAAACAGCAGAATAAAGCTTTCATTGTAGGAATTCTTTTAGATTCATTTAAGACTTACAATAAAAAGGAAGTAACGAGAGTCAAATTACTATTTAAAACATTTTTAACACTGCAACATGGAAGTTTTAAATATTAGAAGAACTAGAATTTTATTTGTAGTCACACAGATAAGTCTAGCTCTTGGGGAAAGTTGTCTCAAAGAACTGGCAATAGGAAATGGAGCATTCATTTCCAGCCAGACTGCATACAGATTGAATTTGCTGTCTTCTTATGGTTATGTATTTATAGAGAGCCATTCACAAACACGGGTGTCCATTAAACTCTTAGAGGCAGATTCTGCGGGGGGATGAATGACTGCTGTGTGCACAAGAACAGTGCATCCAAGTGGAGCCCCTGCCCTGTGGAGCCAGGCCCGTGTTAACAAGCGACGACAAGCGGCATGAGCTGAGCCAAGGAGCTCCGCGCACTCTGTAAGGGACAGCTGTGTACACTGTCACCATCACGACTGTTCCCCTTGGTGGCACTCTAAGTACAGAGGTCAAGGACAGAATGGCTTGGCCTTTGCACCACGCCAGCCTGTGTACTACCTGTTTTTGTGGTTCAGTGACGTGACATTCTGCTTAAGGAGTAAATTTACATTGAACTCTTTATAAACAGTATTTAAAGAAACCCACTTCAAAACGGTACCTTTATTCCCTTTAGGAAACATTTGTGAGGACTGTGATTCTGAGTTGAAATGTTTTTCTTGATGTATTACTAAAATGGAAACAACTTGAAATACAATCAAAGTTTGCCAACAGGCTGGCTAGCCTGGTGAGAAGCGCATGAATGACGAAAGACACAGACAGACTGGAGCTGGTCCAGCAAAGAGCCATGAAGATCACTGGGCAATAAGAGGATCTGAGAAAAGGACAGACTGGGAAAGCTGGGACTGTTCGGCCTGAAAAGGGCTTGGAGGGATCTTATCAAGTGTAAAAGTATCTGGCAGGAGGGTATGAAGAAGACAGAGTCAGACCCTTCCCAGCAGTGCATAGTAATATTCCCATTAATAAAAATGGTCAGGTAACCTAAGATCACTGGGGAGTAAATGTGAGAGTGGATGAGATTAAGAGGCTGCTGTCCTTTGCTCAGTCTGCAAACTAAAATTCATGCCAAGCTACCAAGAATCCCATGCTCATGGTCAAAGCTACAGGGCATCTGGCAACCCAGGTTAACCACTTCATGCTAGCCTGGCCATTTACTTCAGGAACTCTTCCCTAGAAGCTAAAATCTCTGTTGACTACTCATTTTGTGAATCTCCAGAGCTAACCATCGGTAGTTGTAAGAGACCATGAAAATCTGCAGTCATAGGAAAAAACAGCTAACTTACTATCTTCAGTGTTTGCATTTTTAAGATTATATTTGTAAGAAAAGGGATAGAAAATTATTTTAAAGGAAACATAAAAGTTGAGGTCATTTATGAAAGTCCCCAAAACACGCCAGCTCAGTGACACCAAAACATTTCAGTACTGCAAACACAGGCCCAGGCTCTGTTAGAGGCGCAGTGCCTGTTGTAAATACCTACACAATCCATTCTCACAGCCTGATAATGCAGAAAAAACCAGTAATATTTCTTAACGTTAATTTCTTGGATTATACAACTGAATCTCCGATGTCCAGACAGTGGCCACAAAATTATCCACATCAAAAGACTTAAATAAACACATTCGATCTGTGTTTCTCCAGAAAATCTTAAAGGAATGAACCACTGCCACCAAGATGGGCAGAGACGCTCAGATACAAACACTGAGCTGATCTGGGAAACCTTACAAATGCCTTTGACATTTACGTGCTGCCTGAGTCTATTTAAACCACCGCGTCTGTCAGTTATCCTTCTTAGGAGTTTCCATGTATCGCAAGGGCTCAGGAGTGGCCCACCAGTAAGAACTGCTCCCTAAATAGTTTGATTTCTGTAGTAAATATGAATGTCAAAGGCAAATGACATCACACGTATTTTCTTAACATGTGATGTTATTAAAAAACTGCTAGAGAAGGTAATCGTAAAATCAAGTCTGAATGTGCCAGAAAAGTGAAATAATTATTTGTTATAGCTTCCTATAATAAACATAAGTATAAATGGGCATTTGCATTACTGCAGGTAAAATGTTCAGTAGTGTGGAAGATGTGGAGAGCAAAGAAGATAGGATAGAAAATAATTGTCTTATTCCAATTACATGTGTGCTCTGAAATGTTTCTAATTCACAAAATTCATTAAATACTAATATAAATAAAACAAAAAAGCATCAATACAAACACACTGTATTTTCCCAACTCTAAAATGAGGACTTCCATAAAGGGAAGGTGTAGTTATGTGCCAAACTACGTTTTAATTTCTATCAAATCACTTTAACTTCTTGGTTTGCCTTAATCATTCATGGTTAATCAATATGTGCATAGAGTTCACGATGAAACATGACTGACATAGCAACTGTTAAACAAAGCCAACTTAGCTGTCTTCCAGACATACCCTTCATACAGGGTTGTTATTGCTTTCTGATACACATTTTCATGCCCTTTCACAAACACTTCACAGAGCAGGAGTGCACCTGTAAGAGGGAATCTAAACGAAGGAAAAGAAATTGCTTCATGATGCAGGACAACCCAGCTACAGCTGAAATATTTTGTTACAAAGGAAGATTTATCACCTGACAGTAGTGCCTAATTAAAATATGTTTATGTGTTAGCCCAAAATAGAAATAGTTTATTTTATAATTTGTGAAAATAGCTGGGCATGAGGAACATTTGGTGGAACCATGAGAAGCATTTTAGGTGGTCTGGCATATTGGAAAAAATGGGCACAACTGATAATACAGCTCTTAGCTTAGAAAAGTCTTAACCCACGGCCTCCCCGCTCTCCAAGAAAAGAGTGTAACTGTGAGGTGCTTCTCTTCACTGACGCTCCCTCCAGAGAGTGACAGGCTGCTCGATAATGTGATCACAACATAGAGAACAATTACTGCTTGTGAAGCTGGTTTCTCACATTAGAAAGATGAAGGTGTAAATCTTACACAAAAGATCATTTTCTAGAATGTTTTCGCTGGGCATGAGACAGATCCTCTACAGACTTTCTTCTTTCTCCTTTTCAAAGAAACTACTATGTAGAATGTTCCAAAGTCATTAAGAAAAGTAATGCAACAAAATGTGACAATTCCTTCACATAATTTCATCGGAGCTCTTCAACATCCTCTTTTTTAAAGGGCAGCATTAAAAGCATTGAGCTGCAAATTAGGAAGATGACCAATGAAGAGAAATAACTTAACTCCACGAGTAAATACACATAAAATTATTCTCAGTTCTCTATCGCTTTTATACATGTTGATCAAATTATTAAAAAAAAAACCTATTCAAAACTAAGACATATGTGATGTTTTCTTCTGCTGGTTTTTTGTGAACCATCCATACCTACAGTGGTGAGAACATTGCTGTGCTGCCGTTGTGCAGTCCTGCCACAAATTTAGCATCACCAGTTCACACCTGTAGGGAAGATGCTACGACCTCCTCCACCCACCAGTGAGGGTCCTGTGCTACCCCCGAGCTGCTGGGGATACAGAACCCAGCCCGAGAAAAGGAACCAGGCCAGAATGTGGCCGTGCTGTGCTGGTTTTCATATGCGTTTTTAAATCGTTATGGTAACTGCAGTCTGGAAAAAATTAGTGTCTTACACAGCGTTTCCTATCACAGTCAGAGGGAACGCTCACCTACGGAGTGAGCTGCCAGGCCAATGGCCGACCTGCTCTTTGTGCACGGGAGGATCAGTGCCAGTTGCCCATGTTGATTCTTTTAGATCTGCTGATAAAAACGGATGTTGACACACGGCGGCCTCTGGCAGACAGTTAAAGTTGTACTTTGACAATCACTCTTTTCAAATTAAGAATTGCCAAAGGGTATATGGTCTATTTTCCTTATACCAAGAATCTCTTTCTGTGCTCTGATCGATGTGGATGCCTCAAATAGAACTAAGACGAGTTGTATTGCAGCCCTCCGACTGTGCTGAAATTCAGATTTGTTTCAACGAGCACAGATCATTTTCTGTCATAGCTGGCACTCGACTTAAACTCAGCCTTCTCACTCACGTAGCCTTGGGGTGTTTGCTCCTATGGTTCAATACAGTTTTCGTCATTCCTTTTCTATTCATGTGAGTACTGCTGAACATCCAATAGTAGGAAACTTCAAACATGTTATAAAGCTACAACCAGCTCAAAGATTCCCTCTTTGCCCACTATCTGGCAGTTGTTACCATTTTTCTGCTATTTAAAAGAGCAGAGATCTCCCACTTTTACTGAAGAAGGCATAGAAGAAACTACATTACTTGCAGGACCCTAACCAGTTTTTTTACGCTTACAGGGTGAAAAAATTACTGTCTCCTGAACTTAGTTTGAATTCAAGCCATTGTCTGATTTTACTTTGTCCTTCAGGCTATCTGTTTTGGGGGGAAAAAAAAAGAAAGAAAAAAAAAGTCATATCTTATTCCATCTTCACCTGGGTAAATCACTTGAGTAAGTTCAGACTTCTGTAAGGTCTTTAGGATTCCACCTGTGCACGTATAGCTTGATAATTATTTACTTTTAGTAATCCAAATTCAATCATCTCCTGACTATCTTGAGGAAAATGGAGTTTTGCAGTTTTAAAGTTTTCTCTCTAGTGTTCTGTTTTCCTCCCCTTAAGCACCTCTCACAAATACACGTGTGTACATCTGTGCACGTGTACAATGTGAGTTAAGTATCTAAGTGGAATTCCTCACATTAAGTTTCAGTGGGAGCTTTTGTGTATATAGTGCAATGTATAGTACTCTGAATGAAGGGGGTAACAGATAGGTGTGCGTACCTACACATCAGACAATTTTATAAGGTCTAAGAATTAATCAGTTCGTTTCAAATGCTAAAATGATTCCCTTAGGATTTATGAGCTAAGAACGCTCAGGGGTTTAGTGTCCTGACATCTCTTTAATTAGCAGTCTCCAAGATCTCACACTAAGAAGATGCTAAGCCAGTGCCTTCTGTCATATCTCAAGAGTTTCAGAAGGCTTGGAAGCCACAGCGGAAGGTGAATGTACTATGCCTGTGAGCTATACAATATGTACAAATTACCTTTTTCTTACTAGCATCAAGTTAGGACTTCTTGCTACCGCTCCTGCTTTGATGGTGATGCAGTTCTAAAAGAAATTCTAGGAACAATCCAGCAAAAATGGGTGAGGTAAATAAAGACGCCGTTGAAAAATACTTGGAGAACAACCCCCAGTTTGCCAAGGAGTATTTTGACAGAAAAATGAGGGCAGAAGTGCTGGGAAGTATCTTTAAAGTGAGCCCTGGAGATGTGAAGGAAGGAGTCAGCTTCAAAGACATGTCCCGTCTGGAGGAGTGTAACATACTTTTTGAGCTGCTCACAGAAATCCAAGACGAAGCGGGCGTTATGGAAAAGATAGTGCACAAGGCCCTGCAGAGGCTGGCCCAGCTGCTGGCAGCTGATCGGTGTAGTATGTTTATTTGTCGTTCCCGAAATGGTATTCCAGAGGTAGCCACCAGGCTTCTCAATGTCACTCCAACTTCCAGCTTTGAGGAGAATTTGGTGAATCCAGACAATGAGACTGTTTTCCCTCTGGACATCGGGATAGCGGGATGGGCTGCTCACACCAAGAAGTTCTTTAATATCCCTGATGTGAAAAAGGTAAGCGACTTCTCTTGGGGAATGGGCTTCTGTGCTTTTGTTTACTCAGCTTGCTTAGACCAAAAGCATGAGAACAGCGGTGGCAGAGTTTGCTTGACCTCCAGTAGAACCACATCATGTAGCCTAGTGAGGTATTTGCAGTATCCTTGCACAATAGTTGTAATGAAATATACTATAATAAGGGAGGAGAATATTCGATTAATAGAGACCAATAGGAACTTGTGTTTCTGTTGAACAACGCAGGTTTCTGTTCTGTTTTCCAGTACGGGCTTGCAAGCGTTCTCCCTTACCATTCTGTGCTGCCATACATGCACCTCTAAATGAATTTTCAGCTTTTGTGATGATTTGCTTCCTTATGAGTAGGTAAATGAGGAGCGGCTGAGGGAACAGGGCTTGTTTAGCCTGGAGAAGAGAAGGCTGAGGGGAGACCTCATCACCACCTACAACTGCCTCAAGGGAGGTTGTAGAGAGGTGGGTGCTGGTCTCTTCTCCCAGGTGATGGGGGATAGAACAAGGGGAAACGGCACCAAGCTGTGCCAAGGGAGGTTCAGGTTAGAGATAAGGAGGAAGTTCTTTACTGAGAGGGTCGTCAGAAGCTGGAACAGGCTGCCCAGGGAGGTGGTGGAGTCACCATCCCTGGATGTGTTTAAAGAGCGGGTAGACGAGGTACTTAAGGATATGGTTTAGGGGGTAGACAGGAGCGGTTGGACGTGATGATCTCAGAGGGCTTTTCCAACCGAGCCATTCTGTGTGTGTGATTCTGTGTGTGTGTAAATGAAGTCAGATGAAGATGGTATTGACATACAGGTTCAGCTCCAAGGCTGTCTTTGGATTTAAAATGGCTCCAAATTTTGAGTATGTCCAAATCCAGGGCTTTTGTTCAGACCATCCACAGAAGAAGATTAACGAGACAGAGCTGCTCTGATATTTTCAAAGTTCTCATTGAACTGCACAGAATCACCCTCTTTAGTTGTGGTGCTGATAAGGGTTGTTACAAGTGGTTATTACAAGTGTTAACTAAAACAGAATTAAACATGCATGAATAAGAACTGCTTGAGAATGGGGAAACATAATTGTGCTTTGATGATTGTAGATTTCTTAAAAATAGCTAACTTTTTATTACCAAATGGTGACTATTTCATGTCTTTTTAGTCTTATGTGGAAAAGCTCAGCATTATCAAATGATGCTAAGATAACCATATAAGATGATAGTCTGGCTTCTCAGTATTTCCTATACAGTCAGTCTAAAATCCTGCATCATTTTAGAGATGGAAACCACCTCAGTGTCCTAAGCTCAATGTAAATAACAAAAATAATTATACACTGCAATTGTCTGCGTTTTCCAGAAGGTAAACAAAAAGTGATGCATCAGGTTAAAAGCCGGCAGGCATAAAGAAATAAAGGGCTACTTTTAAAGCTCAGAAACAGATGCAAATGCATATATATGTGGAAAGAACATTCCAGTATAGAGTGAACTACCTCAGATGTAAGTAGGAATCACAGGAGCAAAGAGAAGAATGACTGATTTGAGAAAAAATATCAGTTGATTTTTAGCTGACAATTAAGACGCTTTCTTCAACAGCTACTGTTCTGACAAGAGGCATTTGACTTACTGCCTCTTACCACCACATGGGGAGATTGGAGGATAATCCTCCTAAATTCATAAGGCTGATTACATGAGAAAAGATCAGGAGGATCAAGAAAGATGTGCCTTCTATCAGACACTGCACTGCTCCTTAATATCATTATTTGAGAGGTGCCCAGAGCAGGGCTCACCAAATATTTCTCTGTTTGCAATAGGATTTGTTCAAAATTTTGTGATTAATTAATCCACATTTGTCATCAAAACATTGACACTTTATAAGTTAATTGCAGAACTCCCAGAGACCTCTCTGGGACCAAGATGTGTTATTTAAAAACAGCCCTGAGGGTCTCAAAATTGACACTATTTCCATTTTATTTGTAAAAAATTCAAGTGTAGAAATGCACGCTCCTCACACCGGCAAAGCTCCCACCAACGCCACCCGAATGTTTATCACTGTAAGGAATCCAGAACTTCAGCTTTAGTCAGTAACACCTAGGGAATATAATTAGTCTGTGGCAGCAGCAATAGGCAGCCACTGAAGCCTTTATCACGTTTTCTAAATGATAATGATTTTTCAGATCACTTTGTATGCACTTCAGACTAGATTGTCTGCTACCCAAATCCTGAACAAAAAATGACAAGTAGAGTTAAGCCAGAGAGGAGTTTTGCCCTCACTGACTTGTCAGAATACAAAATGCAGAATGACTGATTCTGGATGGGTACAGTCCTTTAAAGATGTCATGTCTGACCACTTTCTGTTGTTGACACAATCCGTAGCCAAACCGCACAGTGTTTTTTTTAAGTCTTAAGTACATGGCAACACTGACAAACCCACGGTGAGACGTTTTTCATGCCTCAATCGCCACAAAAGTGAATGTCGTGAAAGATTTCCACAGCAATAAACCATCAAAATAACATCAGGACCCACTTTTAGGGCCTGGTAGCCAGTTCTTTAGGGATTATCTCCTTCTTCAACCTGGAAAGGTACCAATAAACGTGAGGAAGCTCCTCATCCTGACTAATGCTTCAGAAAAGAAAAGCAGAGGAAAAGATACAGACATTCTGTAATTAACTTAGGAGCCAGAACAGTCTCCCCCCACAAGATTATGGACCTGCTGACTGCAAGAGCTAATAGTGTTTAATCCAGGATTTAATAGTAGTGAGAAACAGGAGGCCATGCAGGACCACTACCCTGATCATTTGCTTCACAGGAGCTGTGAAGAGTGTTCCCAGGGTCTGCCAGAACATGACTCAAATATTCCAAAGTAAAATAAGACTACATAAAATTTGATACGTCCGTTAATAGTCTTTAAATATTAACTGATAACAAGGACAACATGGTATAGAAGAGTGCAATTACCTTACATCTTTCGTTAAGGCATTATTTCCAAATAAAATGGAGAACTAAGAAATAGTTGAATAAACAGCATGTCTTCTGAGGAATCAAAATCTCACATTCTCAGCCTGTTAATAACCTATAATAAGGGCAATATGGTTTTGCTTTAATCCATCATGAATTTAAATTATTGCATTATTCCTTTTAATTCAGCGATATTTGAAGACAACGGTTTAACTGATGATTGGAGAATCAAGAAATAATATTCCTGGTTATCATAGACTGTAAACTTACATAAATGGGAGAATATTTATTCAAAAGAAGTGAAGAATTTTGGATTAGATCCATAAAGGGAGTCAGGTGTTCTGATGCTGAAATAGCAAGCCCTGGTTTTTAGACAACATGCTTGAACCCACAACCTCCAGTGAAGTGAAGAAACAGCAGAGTGTGGAGAGATTCTGGTGCTTCCAACTCAGATCAAGCAGCCAGAGCAGTGATCATTGTGGCACCTAATTTAACCACTGGAATCCTGTGATACAAAACAACTTAAATACATCTTCAAGTGGCAAGCACGGGTATCATCCCTTTGTGAACTGCACCTGTATCATCCCTTTGTAAACTGATCCAGCTTCAGTTTGCATGAGTCTTTTATGTTTGTTTGTTTGTTTGTTTCTGGGAGCTCTACTTCTTCTTAATGCAAGGGTAGGAGAGACTTTAGTTCCAGGTCTATCTAAAGTGACAGGAGTTTCAGATTCATGAGAAGGCACTGGTGCCCAGACTTCAGGCTGTCTGAGCCTGGAACGAGTTAAAAGAGACACTGCATCCCAGTTCTTGAATCAACACCAAATTGTAAACTAAATCAAAGATTATTTGAAGAGGGGAGAGAAAAGTGCAAAGGGAAGCATGATTTTGCATTTCAGGGGTTCCAACTCCCATGTGGCAGCAAGGAGACCTGCTGGAAATTGAGACATTGCTGGAATCAAGCACGTGCATGTCAAACGTCCCATGTAGTGGGAAAGCACAGGAGAGAGCAAAATGGTCAATGGTACAACTGGTTGCCCCGGAAATGGAAAGAATGGGGTCACTTTGTGGTGGAGCTGGTGGCAGGGCACTCACTTGCTAATAAGATGTCTCAGTTTTTAACTCATGTTCTGATAATCCTCTGACAATATGATCTTGGAGAGGAAACCCAAGTATCCAACGTATTGACAAGGCAGAGTATGTTGAAAAAAGCTTCAAAAGCCAGAGGAAGATTATCTAAGCAACCTTAGGCGGAAGTTCTTGAGAAACACACTCAGAGTTGTTAAGATGAGAAGAAACCAGAACAAAGACACACAATGCTACAGAAGTACTGCCTGGAAAGTAACGAGAATGTCTGGAAAGTAACGAGAGTTGAAAGAAACAAAAGGGAGAAAAAAAGGAGAGGTAGCCTTCTACCTGAGAAGAACTCACGTTGTAAGTGTTGATGTCTGCTCCTCTATTTTATCTTATCACTATGGTAATAACAAACAAATTGTCATAAACTCACACTCGGCACAGTAAATATTAACTGGAAAATTTGAAATGTGTTCCAATCTGTTATAAAGACAATGGTTCAGTCAACTTACAAGAAAACTTTTCACCACAAGAACAAATTTCTATTACTCATGCCTTCCCGAAGAAAAAACCAAACCTTTAATTCTTTACTTGAATTAACTTGTGTGAAGAGGAAAGCTTCTCAAATTGAAGAAAAAATAAACATTGAAAATAAAAATTAAAAGCTCCCTTTTAGCTTAATTTTCTTGTTTTATGTGCAAGAAATACTTAAGGCAACATAATAAAGATTCAATTTTTAAAAGTTGCAAAATAGCCAGTAACAAAAATAGTCAGGTACCAAGCGGACATTTCAGTGACACGACTGCAAAGTTCAACTCCCAAATGTTGTTAAATGTATATTAATTTCTACGTGATTCCGTTTCAAAACTCTAGTTATCTTGAAGATACCAAAGTCAATTTGATCTGCAGTGCTAGTAAGTTACATGGCAAAGTGGAGTTGTTTTACAACCCTGACAATGCGAGATGTTTTGAGTGTGACCTCAT